TCCTGTGAAGAAACAAGTGTTTGGTGACCTGCTCTACCATCCATTCCCCTYGGTGCAAAAGAAGGGCCATGAATAATCAGAATAATTTCAAAAGTCTACTCAGARTAATTTAAAAATTATCTTCCCATGCAGACAAACCACGAAACAAGAGGTCATAAAGCAGCTCAGACTTGCCCAAGTTGTAAGAATCTTCCCTTTCCTGAGCTGATAATCACCTGTGCTCAAGAGGCTGGGCGGGTTGCGGGTGGTTACCTGTTGCCTGCCTATTACTGCTAAGAACAAGGAACACCGTTCCCAGGCAGCATGCACAAGAAAACAAAAAGGAAAAAAATAAAAATGTACCTCATCATGATAAACTTCCATTTCTTTTTTAATTTGCAAGAACTCACATTTAGAAGAAAGAAGAAATGAGTATCAAGAGATAAGGAACGATTAATGAGCCCTCTGCCTTGGTTTCAATTGCACTGTGAAATTAATTTAATGCACTCTAAGGATGCAAGARGTAATCGCTCTCGTTTGGTGAGAGGTTTCAATTTCTCTAATGAAGTATCAATATAAATATGTTGCTTTAAGATAGGGAGAACAAGTCGGTAAAATCAGAAAGAATTGGACATACTAACATAAATGCCGTTAAGGAAGCCAAATGGTAAAACTAATAAATAAATTAATTAATTGACTGAAAATTGTATGGCAGAGAGCTAGTAAATTGGGGTTTCATTACAAACTTATTTTAAAGTGCATTTTATGATAATGATAGGCATCCAAGTGACTGATACCATGAAAAAAACATGAGTAATTTAAAAGGAGTAACTGTCCATCTGAGGGGACGTGTTTATGGCTGGAAGCAGCAAGAAACCTGAGACCAGTGACTCGGAAAATAAATACATACACAGATACAAGAGGTTAATAATGCTTGTGGACTTAAGACATGCTGACAAGATGTGAAATGGCTGCACAGACCGGACAAATGAAGAGAGCTTTCTGATGGGTTGTCAAATGTCACCACAGCAAAAGCTGACAAGTCTCTGCCCCTGGACCTCTTGGTTGGCACGAGCCAACTCTCATGGGGAGATGCTGGGGGGACAGAAACGCGCTCCACGGGCGCGCTCGCCCCGCTGGGGACCCACCAACTGCTTGGATGTGCTCCTGCTGTCACGAGCTGGTGTGCCGAAACGCTGGAGCGACCCTGACATCTAAGCCAGCAAAGTGCAAAGACTTGTAAGACCTTTCTGGAGACCMCAAGGACCAAGTTCCTCCGAAGAGGAGCAGCATGGAGGAAAGGCACGGGGGGCAGCAGCCCTGGGTGGAAGGGAAGGGGCTCAACCTGACCAGTCTAGTCCTGCTGAAATTGAGATCTCAGTGACACAAAGGCGGAGAAGGGAAAACTGGGAAGTATCCAACATTCTTTCTAATGTCTAAAATATTTTTTAAGAGTTATCTACTTCAATTTGGGTTTTTTTTTTTGAGGCAAAAAGTGCACTGCCTTGAAGGCTGCCCAAGTAGTGAGGATGGAAGTGCCTCAACCTTGCAAGTCATTAAAGCCACTCAGCTGCTCAACTGGTACCTTGCAGCAGCCCCCAAGATGTGTTACAATCCCCTAGTAACACACTGCCTGACATATTTTATCACTTAATTACTCCCACATTCCTGTTTCCTGCCCTTGTTAATCCAGCACTTCAAGAGAACGCCTGCCTTGCTTACACATAACTGTAATCTCTGCTTTACTGGTGTAAATCAGAACTTATAGAGTTATGGGAGTGCCAAATATCTAACATAAAAATCAGGCCGATAGCCAGAAATGCACCTTTCACCTGGCACTGGGAACACACATTTATTCCTTGTGTCAATTTGCCAACCAAAATATGCTCATTCCACGGCACAAACTCCAAAGGGAGTTTTAGGGCTGTCAATGCTGAGACTACCTAGACTKCCAATAAGTTCATTCTTTGCCTCTTGCCCATACTCCAAGCAAAGCCTTATCTTTGCCAGTGGCTCTAATGAATTTGTTCAAGGCAGATTACACATTACGGTCATTCTAGCCTCAGGTGGACAATGTTGTAAATAAAGGCAACTACAGGGCAATGCCATTAAATGTGATCAATATAAGGAGTGGACAGAAGAGAGTACAGACCCAGTTAGTCAGCTAGGACATCTCAACCATCGTTCTTTGATTAGACTCGTGGTAATTACAGCTTCTGAAATGCCTCTGTCTCTTGCTACCCAGTAGAGATGGGGCAGATACGAACCCCCCTGGGAGCTTGGATGGAGTGGGGCTGCATCCTCCTACTCATAAGCAGTTAATGCAAGGAGAGTGTTCAGCCTTGTGACGTGCAGGAATCAACTAAAAAAGCTCCAAAACACAGAACCACCCTACTTAGCTATTGCTCAGCTGCTCATGCTTCCAAAGACTCTTTAGAAATGGAAGATAACGGTATCTTATGATCTCTATAGGTCCCTTCCAACCTGAATGATTCGGTGATTCTATGATTATCAAGACTACAGATTTGCTAGTGCTGCTACCTTCCCTGGAAGCTGCAGCCAATACAGTATCTTTGAAGAGCCAAAACCAGCTTAAAATTAACCACAGCTGTGCACATTTCCAGTGTTTCTGTTAAGGAGCCCTACATATTTCCAGTGCTTCCGGTCATTGAAAAATGCAAAACTGCAAATTACAGAGCAAGGGAGGAAAAAAAAAGAAAAAAAAAAAAAGGAAAAAAAAGAAGCACTTACAGGAAAAAAGCACTAAAAAAAAAAGTCCACACTCCATGTGGTCCATACTCCATTATATCACTTGTGACAGTGAGAATAAACGCTGTATCTCCCATAATCTCTTGCCCTTTTCCATTTATGTGAAACAAGAAAAATGCTACGGTAAGATTATCTGAAAGCTCTAGGCATCTTCGCATTCTACTCATGTCTTTTGTTCCTTCTTTTAGGTTATTATTACCAAGAGAGCACTTTTTTAGAAGGACTCATTCAGAAATGACTGAATGAGGGTAGCTTGTTGACTCTTCTTTGTGACTTTGCAGGTCAATGATAATTAAATCAGTTTGCAGAAGCCACCGAAGGTTTAAATACTTATGTGAATCTTTTATGAATTACCCAAATCAGGCTGTGCAAATTGGAAGATCATGCAAGAATACGATTTCTCTCTCTCTCTCTCTCTCTCTATATATATATATATATTTTAATCTGACCACCCTGAGCAATTATCTTTTCTGTTAGCATAACAGCATCCTTCTACCAACTCCAAATATAGGAACCACCGAAATGGAAAAAAAAAAACCTACAGAATTCAAAAAATGCATGAATACAATTTCTCTGGTCTCCTGAAGAGACCTCAGACACATTCTAGTAGTCCCCTGGGAGGCTCATTTCACCTAGTCTTGTTCTATCCCAGTCTACTCTTTCGGCCACCAGAAAGCCAATATAAGGTATATCTGCAATGGTCGTATCACTCATAGGTTGGAAAACTGTGGGGGAAAGGAGAGGGGATCGAGACAAACAGAATAACCTTAAGATATGAATTAAATGAAGATTTTATGAGGTTTWTCTTTTTAAAGAGGAAAGCAACAAGAGGTAATGAGGACCACCATAGCTACAGACAGAAAGGAAAGAGAGGGCAGAAATCCTCCTCCTTGACTGTCAGTGGTGACACAACTGCTTACAGCACCAGCAGCTCCCACTATCAGGTCTGAACAGGAATTAGTCACAAAGGTGGTGATTCCATGTAGTGCCATCCTAATGTATGGCATTGTGCATAACACATCCAGGGATGTCCCATGGCAAGAAGAAGACCTCTCCTGGCATCTGACAACAGCTAGCTGGGGCCTCTCTGATGCCTCCCAACTCCCCGCTAGGCRCAGAAGCAACCAGGAAGAAACACCCCAAGGTCATTAGCTTCTCTTGTTGCCAAAAGAGAGAAAGGAGTGAAAGAACAGAAAAGAACAGGGTGGTACCTCTTAACGAGGGAGGGTTATGGGTTCCTGCCCATTTTACGCAGGCCTGGAAAGACTCCACAGGCAGTAATGGAGATATTCCACATTACAATACAGCTGTGATGAAAACAAGGTGCAGCCATGAGTTTTGACACTGGAAAGGCACCTGTAACATGGCCCACAGCAATTACTTATCATTTCCTTACAGCTCATTTGGAGAACATGTATGTGTTGAGGAAGTCTCTTTGCAGGTACCTGTGTTGGTGCCACAGCAAATTGCTTTACTGACACCTTTGCTGGTAAAGCAGCCCCTGGGGCGATGCTGAAGTCCTTGGGAGGGCTGTTAAGAGCAAACTCTGAAATCCAAAAAATAGCCCAGACAGTTATCTCTGGTCCCTTAGGAGCTACACCTTGTGAAGCAGAGCCTGGAATCGGAGCACTGCATCTTGACACCACATTGTCAAATCGCCCACCTAGGCGGTCACGTTTGGTCTACCTTGGACTTCCTCCAATGAAAATGCAAAATTTTTTCTTGTTTATCTTATAATTCAACTAGCCTGTTGAATTACACCATGAAAATGATGTGATAGAAGACTTGCGCCCTGCTGGATTCAAGGTTAGGGTTTTCAAAATCCATTGCAAGTCAGGCTTACAGGAGATGTCTTACTTATCTCCTTCCTACAATGGCAGAGAGGATGAAGTTATTAGGAAGCATTTTCCAACTCCTTCTGCCAATAGCTGGGACTGTTGCCAATGCCAACAGTCATCAGCACAGGACAGCTGAAGACAGAATAAGGGAAAAGAGGAACCAAAGAGGAGAAGACCCTGTCTCAAGAAATAGAAGAGTCCACATATACAGCAAAGAGGTTCTTGAAAATGCTCCTCTGCCTTTATAATCTTAAAAAAAMCCCCAAACTTCTATTTATTTATTATTATTTTAAGGAGACTTGTCTCTTGAAAAGGAGGCTTGTCCTCTGCATGGTCACTGTAATCAAGTTGTGTCACCACTGCAGCATTTACATTACTGGTCTTGAGCTTTACATGAAAAGGAGACCCACATACCTTTGGTCGCCAGCCGGACACAGTTGATTTTTGTTTCCTGAAAAATATAGAAGTAGAGGAAAACATCAAGGTGTGTAATTTGCCCACCTGCAACAAACACACAGTCCTTAAAAGCAAGCACTAAAGCTAATTAGCCTTTTTCTTGCTCTTCATTCCTGAAAATACCGCCAACACTTCCATAAAACTCTCCATACTACTGGACCCGCAGGCTGCTAACTGCTGCAAGGTTAAAGTGACAATATATTTTTCCATACTAGATGTGTGAGTGATGGGTCCCACACGAGGAGATGATGAACTAATAGAAATTACCAGTTAAATGATCTGATCTGTAATAAGCAGAGAAGCTTTGGGTCAAAAGTACATGCAACTCTACATCTAATTTTCATGCACCATTACTACAAATTTGGCAAATTGGGTATTTATTTAAACACACAGCACAGAGACACCTGGRCAGTCATTTGAGTACTTGAGCTATCCCAAACGTATGGGCAGCAAAGCAGCATGTGGTGTTGCCAGCCCTGCCAAACACACTGTTCAGATGCCACCCAAACTGCTGCAGGCTCTTCACCGTGGAGCTTGGAGAAAACCCAACACCTTTGTTCCATCCACCTCGACGTCTGCAGATCTGCATAAACAGCAATCTGGATGCGAATGACTAGGTTGTATTTRGCTTAACTAACCAACCTCCACTTCGGCAGCCTTCTCAGGCCACCCCCATTGAAAACCCATCCTTCCTGGTATCCCAAAGCCCTCGTTCTGCAGCCGTTACTGGCACGGATTGCTTCTGCTTGATACACGGTCGCCAGCCAAATCCTCACGCGTTGCTTCGGTTAGAAAAGTGACTTTGTCAGTCAGTMATCTGCTGCAGGGGTTTCTTAGCACTTTATGTCTTTACATGCTCTTGTACATGTCTCAGGTGTAATGAATACTGCATAAATTACTGCACGCAACAATGCGGCATTAATATGGATGCGCTGGAAACAACAACCTGGCAGATGCACCTCTGAGCGGCTCAGCCCTCCTCCAGCGACAGCAGGAAGGCTGTAAAAGGCTGGAAGTGCTCCTGGAAAAAGCCTCTCACACCTGGGGGCAGCCCCTGCTTGGCTCCAGCAAAAATACATGGTCACACTTGCCTTCCTCCTCACACGAGCAAGTGTGGGTAGCAGGATCCATGGGATCCATGCTCTGGGATGTACAGCAGTGACTCCATGTGATCCTTCTACACTGCTCCTCAGGGGAGACCTCAGCCATGCTGGTTGGATAAAGCAACCCCATAGGTATTCCTGAAAGGAAAGGGTATCCAGATGGAGAACCTTTCCCTTCCAGCTTCCCTCGGAACGCTCTTAGGGAGGTCCTGGGTCACTGGACACATCATGTCCATCCTGGTAGACATYCAGGTGTATCATCCAGGTGTATCATCCTCAACGTGCGACCAAAGGACCGTCTGTCCCAGGACTGAATGGTTTTCATCAATGACCCCTCTCTCCCTGCAAAAATGACCCCCCCACACAACTTGCACCAACGTCAGCACCAGCAAGTCCACAGGTCCCAGCTGCTCAATGGGGCTCTGTGCCCCGCTTTGCTTCCTGCAAAATCGGCTCCAATTGCCGGCCAGTCCCGAAATCCCAGATCTTTATTGCTGGTGATGATATATGAACTGAGAAGAGCTTTACTTTCAGAGCCCTGCCTCAGCATGCAGTGATAGAAATAATAATAACAGCCAATCCTGATGTAGTTTATAATCTAAGGAAAGGTGACCCAGAAAATCAGTGATGAGAAATAAACTGAATACCAAGACAGCATTTTTGCATCCCAAAGTAGCCGGGCACCTGCATGAATTTTGTCATGGAAAAATTTTATTGTTTTTGTAGCTCTTGCTTTGTACTAGCTGCCGAGCACAAGAGAAAGCAGGAGAAGCTGGTCCATGGGTGAGAAAACCAAGAATGAAATCTTGCTAACGAAGCTGTACCTGATCTCATTTGAGCTTGTCCATCCTCCTGCACACTGCCCTGCCACGGGGTAATCTGAGAGGACAGGACACGGCGCGCTCTGCCTGCATGTGCATCTCCTAATTGCAGCATTTAGCACAGATAYGGTCCCTGGCAAAGGGAAATGTCTGGATACTGGCAAAAGGAAGAGCGATTCATCACTTGAGGAGCAAGTCTTCTGGACTTCAGAGTTTTGGAGGGCATCTTCTGAGACGGAGAACTTGAAAGCAACTCGAAAGGTCTCCAGACATGCAGCTCCTGGGGATGTCCAAGGGAGATTGGTCCATATTCCCCATTTGGAGTGATTACTCCTTTGATCTCCATTGATCATCTCTCATTGATCAACCCAGTGTTTCTCTCTTCTGTGTTTCAAAAATAAAAGGGGGGGGGGGGTGTTCATATTTATTGGATTTTTGTTTGAGTTTGCCTGAACTCTTCTGCCAGCAAGCAGAATAAATAAATATTCTCTTCCCCTCAAAATAATGAAAAAATTTTCTAGCAACCACACCTACTTTTTGAAAAATACTAGTCTTGATTCAGGCGGTGTGTTTRCTTGTTCACAGTAAAAGAAGATGCTTCTGTTCAGACAATAATAAAACAAGAATAAATAATACAGTTAATTCTCAATTATAATCCAGGTGGCTTAAGGCAATTGCAAGGAAAAAAAAAAGTGATATAAAGGGATTAAGAAAAAAAGCTTAGAAAAACAAAACAAACCAATAAACAACCCCCCCCCCCCCCCCCCCCATTTTGGTGCCCTGATTGTCCCTGCCAGGCTCCTCCTGGAGCTCAGACCTCTGAATTCTCTATAGTCCTGACTGTGTTGGTTTAGCATCCTCAGAATACAGGTTGTTCTTCACCAAGCAAGGAGTTGATCCTGCCTATATTCATTTAGGTTCCTCAAAGCCCCTTGCACTGCAGTGGTGACAAGTCCTGCCGGCATCGCAGAGAGTTTGGATGGAAACAACTTCCCACAGAAAGGGGCTACAGAGGCAGCAGGACATATGTTTATGTGACAGCTGCATCTTCCCAAGCTAAAAGGGCAAATGATGTTTTTTTCCCCTTTACAATGACAGCTTGCTGCTTCCAGACTAYGCACAATGAGCGAAGCGGGCGCTCCCATCCATCTGTTTCCACACACAGTCTTTTCCTTCCTCCACCTCTGCCAGGGCGAGCATCGTTATCCCTGYGTGAGCTTCTCCAGACTGTCCTGGATCAGGCAGTTTCTTCAAGGAGCTCAAACTGGACGCAGCAATTTGCACTTTTGCTGCCACGTGGGCGATGCAGACATGTAATTACCACCTCCAGCTCTGTTTCCAACATCACTGTTAGCACCTCGTGTCCCAGAGATGAACATCCTCCAGGCAACGTGTTTCCTACAGGAGTCGGACCACAGCCCACTCAGCCGAGCCGTCCAAGAAATTGATATTTTTGTTCTGTTCTTAAATTTGGCCAAAATTTGGAGGAGCACTAGGCCACGTCTTTGCTATCTCACTGAAGACAACTGTCTGCTGTATTTAAAATCTGCCTTGTGTGGGACTTGGCAGCATCCACGGACTCCCCTGTAGTTTCAATTGCCAGTTTAAGAAAACGGCTTGTTCTCCTAGAGGATTAAGCCAAGCCCTTGCACTGCCTTTCCAACAAGAGCTACTTTTGCTACCTAGTTTAGTGTTGTGGACTTTTGTTACCAAAAATAGGAAGTTTCTTGAATGATATATGCTTAATCATTTAATACTCGCATTCCCAAGCTCCTTGAATCTTAAGTTAAATAAGAGGATATTATTTAAGCAAGTAATAGAATCGACATGAAAACCCCTAAGCCCACATATTTTGGCCCAGGACCACCACACAGCTGTGAACACAGCCCTGTGTGAACACAGGGGCTTACAAAGAACTCAGTGTTTCCACAGCTGCTATATTTCTGCCCCAGGAGCTCCAACACGTATCTTAAAAGAATAAGCATCAGAGGATCTGAATGCCTGAAAACCTGGTGAATATAGAGCTTCCCAAAGTGGTTTGCAGAAGCTATGGAGGTACCTAGATACTACCCAAGTTCCCAGAATGGGGCTTGTGCTGGATTCAAGTAACCCACTGGCTTTCTGTGGAGCAGCTCCCACAGGTATGAACCTCACATTAGGTGCTGCCAGCTCCAACCATACACCCAAGGTGTAAGGAAGGATGTTCTGTATTGTGAGGAACACGTAGAAACCCAGCCTCAAGTCCCCTGCTACTACTGAACTGCACAGTTGTGCATGTAGTCTGAGTCATTAGAGAAAGAAATCAGTGAGAATCTCTGGAGAGTCCCTCATTGCTTCCAAAATAATATTTTCATTGATGACAGCGATGCTCTTTGGACACGCTGGGCCTGAAAGCAACACTCACCTGTTGGGGCACCAGGCTGCCCGAGCAGCTGGCAGCGCCTCCCGCAGCCTCCAGCTGCACTGCGAAGGCTCCAGCCTCGCTTCCCATTTAGAGGAAAAACGGCCCAGAATTATGGATTGCAACCGTGCTGCTACAGATCTCAGTTTTAACTCGGAGGAGTAAAACCCAACAACTGCAGGATGGATTTCTAGGAAGCTCTAGTTTCTGCACTGCTTCAAATTCAGGCAGGTTTCACAGCGACTAAAGAAGCTTCCCTGGCTGAGTGAGTTTGCTGGATCGCTGACCAGGGACGGTCACCTGCGACGATCCAGGGAAAGAAACTGTGGAGCAATAAAGCCCACAACATTTAACTGGGATTAATACCCAGGACGGATTAATACTCAGCAAGAGCGCTGAGGAGCAGCGTGATGCTGCCGTCTTGCACTGGTCTCACCTGGCAGAAGCAGGAGGACGCTGCAGGGATGAGGGCTGCAAAGGGGCTCAGGCTTCGGACAAGGGGGACCTCCTGCTGGGTCAGACAGTCAACGTTGCTGATCGTGCCAGGAGAAACTGCAAATCCAGGTAGCTACGTGAGCAGCAGCAGCAGCAGCAGCACGCGTGGAGCTTCTGCCAGAGCACCTAGAGAAGCCCCTTGCCTGTTCTTCTTGTGTTACTTTTTGCCCCACCTCTTTCTAACAAAGCCACAGTCTCTAATTGTGCTCCTCACCGACACAAAACCTGCAGCCTCTGCTTGCTTCGCTTTTTATTCCTCCTTTTTCATTTTCTCCCCCCTCTTACACATTCCTCTCTTCCTCTTACACATTCCCCCCCTACTCTTGGCACATTCAGCTCAGCATCTGCCTCTCAACAAGCCCTAGGAGGGAAACGCGCCCGATTTGGAAGGCTTTTGTGCAACAGAGCCCCAAACAACGTTGCTGCACATGTGCTATATAGTCCCGTCTGTGGAAGCTATGCCACGTTGACCACATTTCCCATGATGGGACGAAGAAAAGAAGAAATTTCAGCGAGCAGCAGCTCTATTCAGGCTCGTGCACGGCGCCGCACACGAGAAGGCAGGGAGGCTCGCAAGCTGATTTTGCAGCAATTTGCCATGCTTGTTCTGCACCCAGCTGTTAATTATGTTCCCTTCAATGCAACAATCACGGCTAATGGCTGCGGAGCAGACAAGAACGCCAAGCGAGCAGAGCCCTCCACGTACGGAGGCACGGAAAGAACAGAGAAGGTCCACAGCCCCATCCACCTCCTCTTCATCAAGCTTTTTGACCCAACACAGAGTGTTCCCTCAAATTATCCCCCTCTGGAGTCCTGCATTTGCAAAAGAAGACGTTGTGGTTCATTGCACGGAGCTTTCTCCTTGCAGGTTCCATCGCAAGTGTGGAAAGAAGCTTCAGCATTCCACAACTCCCAGTGCTTAATGGGACTGCGGAATATCCTCATTAAAATATGAGTGGCAACAGTCTATCAAGAAGGTTTTAATATGCAGGGCAACACAAGGCTGTATTTTAATCCTGCCAAACGTCAGTGTTGCAAAATTTCTGCAGACGTGCCCTATGAGAAATGCCACCGTGTTGCGGCCGCGTTTGCAGGTCTGTGAGGAACGCAGGCAAAACTGCTCCGTATGCACATCCAAGCGTCTGCACAGAGCTCCTCATACAGATCCTACCTGCAAATAATTCTGGGAACAAAACAAAACTCGTTATTTACTGCTGTAAAAGACTGGATGCAAATCAGACCCTAATGTTTGAAATGTGGGACATAAGAATTTCATTGTGAAACAAAAAGTACCGCGTTTATTCAGCTGAAGAGCCAAATTTCACTCTTGGACCTGCACCCAGCAGATGGTGCCCTATTATATTTTCTCTCTGTTTGTTCCTGTACCTATCAGCTAAATTGCACTTTAAGGAAACATAAGCACATTCCCTAACTATACAAATTATTAACACATGAGGCAATTGCTCGCTCTAAAAGGGAAATTTGTTTTATCTGGTATTTCTTTTCCCTACATTCACAAGCTGCATACTGTTGCACACAGGCTCTTTGGATTCTTTATGCTTGCAAGTCCAGATCCTGTAATCAAAAACAAAAATCCTGTATTTCTGCCTGTAATTGAAAATTATGGAATGGCCCAGATGATGGAAACCCACAATTTTTCCAGCTCAGACTGGCAGGGACTGCTGGACTTGTCGTCTGCAGTTTGCCTTTATCTGCAACAGATGGAGCATAGGCCAAATCCAGTGGTAATTTGGGAATTTATATGAGCTCTCTGCCACTGCAGGGACTCGGGACGTTGGCAATGACCCGGACCTCTCCCACCACACAGTCTAACAGCTTTGTGGGCCATTACTAACTGGCCTTAATTTCTTTCAAGTATTTGCAAAGCAAATTTGCAAAGCTTTGTGCATCCCTGTGACCTTGTACATGCGGATCACAATGGAACTTAACAGCTTCAGAGTGACCATCCAGGTCCAGAAAAAAAGCAGGAGCTGCACAGTAATGCTGCCTTAATCCAGACTGCCAGGTGGAGCCTACAATTCCATTTATTCTACTCATTTACAGCCCATTATATTATACTTCAGCAAATAAAGCTTTCCTTCCCTGGGGATCCATTCAGTAGCCACTAACTAGCACATGAGGAGGAACTAACCAGACTCAGAGAGACATACACACATATTTCACCATTTCCTTTATAAAGGCAAATCTAAAACTGAATTAACTGAGTAGCGCTGGAAGGAATCTGTATTGACTAGCAAGGGAACCAAGGTGAAAAAGAGCCCCGTAATGAAGAGATCTGTTTTCATCAGCCCCACAGCAGAGACTCTGCTGGAGAACGGTGATGAATGGAGGCCCTAAGCAAGGAAGATCCGTGGTGGACATTCATTAGCACTGCTCTCCTGTTAAACAACGTGCAGTCCCCTGTAGTGCGCTGTCTTTTGGGTGTAGAAGACTCTGTTCTAAGTGGAGACCAAAGCTTACAATGCCTTTCACCTCTGCTTCTTCTAAATTGGCTCTTGCAGAACAAAATTGTCCTGAAGAATTTTACCAAGTAAAAGTTGGAGTCATGAGAGCACCGACAAAGGTGCCAAGAACTGCCACAACCGCTCAGCTTCTTGACTGCACGTTAGTGCTGTAAGGTTGCTCATGAGGCCTGAATGCCAAATCAGATCATGTCATCTATGATAATGAAAAATCATTAGGGGAGTCAAAGGTTAGGAAGGGAATAAGGTAAATCACTGCTTAGGCTGGATCTCCCCTCTTCACTGTTAGCTGAACAAGACTGGAAAAGCCAAGTTAAAAGAATGTCACAAACAATTTCTCTTTTCCTATGGGAGTCAAGGATGACATGTAATCCATCTGAGTCTGAGAACGGGGAAGACTAAATTGCCTGTCTCCATTTTAAACCTAGTAGCACAGAGAAAATATTTATAAAAATATAGGCCAGGATCTCCAAAAGGAGACAAGACAGAAATGCACATTGTCCCCTCCACTGCCTGACTCAGGCAGTGTTCAAACCCCAAATCCCAGCCATAATTGCTAAATTATGATGTGATTAAATGCAAGTCAATAAGGTAAAGCACTATCATAGCATCTGGGCAGTTCTCATAATGTCTCCTCCAAAACAACAAGCACTGGAACTGATGAATGCCAAGGCGTAACAGCTCTGTCCTACAAGAACCATAGTCCCTACATGGATTTTAATGCAACCGCAAAGGGAAAAAAGCAAAATAAAAAGGCAAATTGATAGCAATACACTTTGTAAACCATGGGTCAGTAACCCAACATGTGCCTTTACATCATCTAGCCCCTCTATGGGTTTCTCATTGCATCCAAGCACCAGGAAGAGATATGAGTGAAGGACAAACAGCGACAAGTTTAAATTTTCACCAAATTTCTGCAAGAAGATAATGGTGAGGAAGAGATAACCCGGCATCTCATGGAGAAGGGAAGAGACGGGTGGGAAGGACAAACAGAGCAGGGTCATATGGACAGATCCAACTCAGATCTCTGCACTTACTCCATTGGCTTTGCTAAGAGCTTGGAAGTATATGCTGTAGCTCTTCAGGGGCGAGAGGGGAGCGTTCCAGTAGCCGTTATAGGTTTTGTTGTCGCCCACCGTGAAGGGCTGCGTGACGGGCAGGTTGATGGGCTTCAGTTCGGCTGCAAAGTAGTGGGGGGAGTCCAGACTGGAGGCGTTCTTGTAGCTCACGGGCACGGAGAAGCACTCAACGATGTCCGCAGCTCTCCGGGCTTTCTGTGGCTTCTCTTCCTTGACCACGAGTTGATAGACACTAGGAGGAAGAGGAGACAGAGAGGAAGATAAGGTTAGAACTTCATGAGGCATTGACATCAAGGAAGCTTCCAATGACAAAAGAAAAAGAAAAAGTAATAAAAACACTTGCAGGGAATCACAGCCAGTTCCTGGAGGGAACACTGCCAGGGCATGGCTGCTCCTGGAGCAGTCCAGACTCAGTTAAAACTCAGTGGTGCTACATGGGCAAGATACTGAACACTTTCTCTGTTGATTCAGTGGAGTTAGTCAAAATATGACTTTGTGAAAGTCCAAACAGATTGCGAACACAGAACCACAGAAATATTATGGTTAGGAAAGACCTTCAAGATCATCGAGTCCTCCTCATCACCACCACGGCTGCTAAATCATGTCCCTAAGTGCCTCGTGTACGTGTTTCCTGAACACTGCCAGGGATGATGACTCCACCGCTTCCCTGGGCAGCCTGTTCCAATGCTTATCCACTCTTTCTATGTAGAAGTTCTTCCTGATGTCTAACTTGAACCTCCCCTGCTGCAACTTGAGGCCATCTCCTCTTGTCCTATCTGTAGTTTTTCACAATGGTGTCATACCTTGGGAAAAGGAGATATCATATAAAATATCCAACCTATAGGATTTTTTTTTCTTTTACTATAGAGAATTCTTTTACTTTAGAGATTCTTTTACTTTAGAGAGCATTTGTTTTCTCTTTCTGCTACCAAATTACAAATTGTATGCTCAAAAAGGTGATTGTGTAACAGCATCAGCAGCTCACATCAGCAGCTCACAACAGTGTCAGATCCCTTTTGGAAAATGTGTTTCAGGATGCAAGAATCAGTTTCAATAAACAAGATCTCAAAACTTCTAACAATGTCACCTTTTTTTAGCCATTTGTTACAGCAATTTTGGGGTCATATCGGGATATGGATAAGGAGTCGTCTAATACTAATTCCTAATGGCAAATTTCCTCCTAACATCCAACAAGAAAATCAAGACTTATATACTGAGCTGCTGTCTTTACATCTCCTGCAATTTGCTTTGTTCCAGACAACTCTTCATAGTCTTCCCTGTTCTACGAAATGTGAATCCTTCTGCAAGGAAGGAAGATTGCTAAGTTTGGGACCTCTAAGATATGTAACAGTGATTTTTGTTATTTCTAGCCTATTTTTTCGAGCTGCAGAAGGTTGCAAGGCATCCACATGCACTTTGCTCTGTTTCTTAAACTGTTAACAAAGGCTTTAAGCTGAGGACTGCTCCAGCTGAGGCAGACAAACCATCTGCACATCACCACTTAACCCTCTGACAAAGAAAGATACCACTGCAGTCATTTCACGTTTTGGCAGARCATTCCCATACGCTCTTCACCTGCCTTTGCAAGGCTTGGCTTTGGTTTAGTTAGACTGGGGAGATCGATTAAAAGATAGCAAACTGCCTGCAGTGTATCACTCTTGCTGCTTGCACCGGCTCCTTGCTGCAAAAAGATGGGTTAGAAGAATTTGTAGCCTTGCAATGGCTCATCAATACTTCTGTGGAAAGCTTAAAAAAGCAGGGAAAAAAAAAAAAGGAAAATAACAACAAAAATTAACTCATGTTTTTTAATTAATTTTGATTTTATCTCTTTGGGTACCTGGTGCACTTGCTGTTAACAAGGAAGTGGTCAGTGACTCTTCTGATAACTCTCATCCAGGGAGGCTCCAGCTGCTAGACATGCAAGCAAATAATCCTCACAAATACCACCAATTTATGAGTTGCTTAGCACTGAAGTGGTCCTTATGCGGGATGCTTTGAACATTTGCTAATGCAGCAAGATGCACCCAGCAGATGCAGTGACTGCAGCCTTCAAAGTCATCCCACTAACTTATCTGAAAACTTTGCTCAGTCACAGGACAGCTATATAGACTCAGTCATATAGACAGCTCGCTGTCAGTTTTAATAGAATATTTTAAACCTTCTCATTTTTTTAATTGCTAAAATGATTAGCAAATTTCCCAGAAAGTTTTCCAGAATTATCATGTATAAGTAAAATTGCATCTAACCTGAACACTCCTCCCAGTCTGGCAAGAGAAACTTGAAGTTTGCTTTTCCAGACACTGTTTCTTGAGACCATCCACAGATTCTTACTGTGACCCTTCACTCTGGCAATTATAATAAATACTGCTTGGAATGAATTACAGCTTTATTTACTTTGTTAAAAGCAAAATAACAGGCATTTTGTTTGGGAGTTTTATTCATTCTCTGTTGCTCCACTGCTTCATTCTCTGTTCAGGTTTGCTCACCTAAATAACAACACCCAGCACTCAGAGGAAGTCTTCTTCAGGAGGAGGAACAAATTTCACTGTCCCTTTTTTCCTAGACAGATGTTCCAAAGACACACAAGCAGTGCCTGCTCTTTCCAAACCTGCCAATGGCCAGGTCACGTTCCTCTCCTGTTTAATTCCGAGCGAAATTCTCACAATGCCCTAAAACTAGCATATTCCATACCCATATCATTGCAAAACAGATTTTACAATTAATTCCAAAAAAACACAAGTTCTCAACAGCAACAACCCAGCAGCTATCTGGACGAACACTGGCAGCCTTTCCACACAATGCACAGACTTGCTGCTGATATTTTAAGAGCATTGGGCACCCACCTTCTATCAGAAGAAAAGGTTGGTCTCAGTTTTATTGCCTCACTAATGCCTCCCTTTACTGATAGTAGAGCGTATGTCCTTTTTATATACATATAACTCCTTCCAGCCTATCCAGAAGCAAGGAGTTACTGCTGCCCATCTCCCTGTCCCCACAATGTCCCAAGAGCAACTTCATTTTTTCAATATTCCACTTTAAGCAATAACTCAGATAAATACATTCTTTCCATACATAGAAAAGCTATTATTTTTTAAGACATTCTCAGAGTCTTCCTGGACTGCTTTGATCACCTGCTTCTCCAACATATGCACCCTGTTTCACAAAGTGCAAGAGCTCCGATAAAGGCTAAGCTTTCCTGCCTAGCCTTTACCTCATACTCTTCTTGTTGTGGGGATAATTCCCCATTTTAATGTCAGGAAATCCTACTCATTACTTGGGATGTTTCCTCTTTTGAAACAACTTGAGGTGATTCTGAAAGCACAATGGGACGTTCACGAGCATTCAACCAAAGTGCAACAGATGTCCCAATCACGTGCAAGTTAAGACTCTATTAATCTCCTGCTCAAATGCTATCTCTTTTTCCTGTGAAATAAATGCCTGAGCTAGCAGCACTGTCATTGTTCCTTCTTTCTTTTCTAAAGAATGCAGAAACTCTGGGAGAGTGACCGCTTGCCTTTCTTGGCGGGTTAAGCTCTTAACTCTCGGTGGGAGTGATGGCTCCAGTACTCATATCTCTTAGCTTTACCTGCTGCCCTTGATGACCTCCACCGCTCACCTCCCTCTTGCTTAAGAGTCTCAGTCGTTTGGCGATGGTCAAGAGCCACTCAAAGGCAGTGGTCAAGGAGCCAAAAGAGGGGCCACTGTCAAAGACTATTCCAGAAGATCTTTACTCTGGGAAGCTGTTGCCTTCTCAAATGATTATTCTGTATTTTACTCTCTGATACTCTGGTCCAGATTCCAGGCTGCCTGTTCCCTCCAGAAGAGCAGGATTCCAGCTCAAACTCAAATTCTTACCATAACACTGATATCTTAATTTCTCAGTTTCTTTTTCCCTCATGTTTTTGTTTTATTGTGAAGCAGGGTGTTCTTGAACTGTCTTTAGGTCATTCTCAGCTATCAGCTTCTCCACTTTGAACCATCAAGTACTGCTAGGCCTGGCAAGTGCTTGCACACCTGCGATGGCCTGCGTGAAGATTCCCATCAGTGCACACCTCTTCTGTGAGGCAGAGAGAAAGACAATGATGCAACACCAAAATGAACCTCTTGGGAGTTTTCCTTGAGTAGCAAGCATAAAATTACCACCCTGAAGCTTGGCCAGAACATCTCCTGGGGATCTCCTGCTCCCAGTTTCAAAGCCACCGCTCTCAGCCAACACTGCTTGCAGAGCGGGAGTCAATACATCAGCTCCAGATGCCCAGATGGGGAAAACACCATTTTGATGTCACATATTGAAATTACACTGGGAGAGACAACGGAATTAGCACAGTAAAGTTCATGATACCTGATAGCAGAGCGCAGTACCAAGGGACTGAAAGAGGAGGTGAGGAACCGAGCTCGTCGGTGCTCCCTGGCACACGGGTAGCTCCTTGCTCAACAGGTCCAGGTGAGCTGCCCTCTCCCGACTTTGTTCTCGGGGCTCCTGGCCCAGCCCCGTTGTCCTATCGGGCTCCTTGATAAGCTTCACAGATTGCCTATACATCAAACCCTGTTACTCTGATAAAAGCTACTTGACGTTTTTGACAGCTCCGTTCTAAATCACTGATAAAAGCACCAGTCGTAATAGTCGCCACGGCACAAATGTTGTCTGCAGAGGCAGCGAATGTGCTCTTATCATCATCTACAAGGTAATCTTATAAATTATGAGTTCTCTATTCAGTGTGAAAGCACAAGTGTGGATAATCAACCTTTCAAATCACAGTCCTGTATCCCAGATGCTGAGAGATCCCCGGGCGCTTTCCGACACCTCCATCCCTGCTCTTGATTTTGCAGCGCGATGCAAGGAGGCAGAAACAGAGTCGGGGGGATAGGATGGAGAGGAAAAGCCGTTCCAGAGCTTTCCACAGTGGCTCCAACAACTCATTGGCATTTTTGAGCATCGTGACATGGTGCTTCCCAACAAGGTGAAATCAGCACTATTATCCCTGATAATGAGACGTTGGGAAAAGGAATATAATGTCTTCCCGACCTTACACAGCTCGCCTTACCTAACCTATTAAAGCTTGGAAGAAACAATCCTTCAGCAGTTTAGTATTCCCACTTGACCCATTTTGGTATCTGGAATTTCTTGAACGCACCGTATCCATTTAAGATTTAATAGATTTCCATTTAATTTTAATATTTAATACATCAATATGTTATCAGATGCTTATTATGTCCAATACTATTTTCCCC